AATTTATCTTTAAGCTTCCAGAAAAAAAAAATTCTTGACATCAGTATAAAGAACTGGCGCCATATGAACGGAGACAAAGCACGTGCCAAGGTACCTTTCTGGTCCTGCCCAAGTGAGGATGTCAAGTTACACACAGTTATTTTGCAGTTTGGCTCTATTCTGCACCCCGTTTCTTGGCAGTAGAGCCCCGATTTCACAAATTTTCATTTCTGTAATGACTCAGTGTTTGCTAACAGGAGTATCCCATGCTTCTCCCCCCCAAGGTGCATGCTTGAGGATATTCTTTTTCTGTGCTAAACAGCGAAGGAGAGGAGAGGAAGGGAAAGGACTGGTAATCTTCAAAATACTGTTGCAGCTATGATGTTCTTCTCAGAAACATCCTGACTGGAATTTCCCACACTTGCAAGCCTTTCATGTCTCACCACACAGCCCAAACTAACCCAAACTGCGAGGGATTGTTTTTCATCTCCAGAACTGATGTTTCTTGATGCAGCTTTTAACTTTCCCACTTCCTGGGTAGTCACTTAATTACGGTTAAGCACTGGTAACAGTTTCAAAATCCTCGGTGTCTTTCCTGATATTTGGCTCAGTAATCCAGCAGCCTGCAGACCCGCTGTTGCAGCAGCGAGCATTTCGGCAGTCTGGAGATGAAAGGCCATTTTGCGCACTTTGAGCTGCATCGTTTCTTTGTTCTGGCACCGGCCAGCTGAGGCAGATGTTGAGCGATGGGGGAGGTGGGCTTTCCCCAGCATCGGCTGCAGCCCACCCGCTACAGGTCGTTAACTTGCTGGTCCAGTCAGTCTTGACCTTGAAGTTTGGTTGATGGTCCTTGCACGCGTACCTGATCAGCACCTCCCTTCCCCGCATCCCGTCTCCTGCTGCGTCCCCGACTGCCGTTGCTTACGGCACTGGGACAGCTTGCAGCGGCAGACCCGCGTTTCAGAGGTGCGAGACAAAGCGGATGCGCTGGGAGTACGCCAGGTCCACGACGTAGAGCAGCAGGTTGATGTAGGTGAAGACGGCAATCACCAGCTGGCTGTCCCAGGGGCACCTGCCCTTGGAGCAGAGGTCGGGGCGCCGCGGGGAGCCGTACTTGCTGTCGAAGCAGAACACCGGCCAGACAACCGCTGCGCTCACGTACAGCAGCACGGCCCCAAAGGTGTAGACGACCACGGAGCGCTCGAAGGGGAACCACAGCGTGGCGGTCTTACCTGTGACGCTGAAGGCCACTACCACCACTGTCACCACAAAGCAAAAGCTGTAGACAGCCACACACCACTGCGTTGCCACATATTTGCCATACTGGCTGTCATTCACCAGTGCCCCAAAGATGATGCAGGCCACAAAGGCCTGCACGATTTTCAGGAGCCCGGAGACGGTGGCCATGTAGCTGGTGACCTGTCCTGGTTTTGCCCTGGTTAGGAACACCTCGACAGCATATGCAATGAACAGGAGGCCCGCAAAGACGCTAGCTGCGATGCGAAAGTCTCTCACCTCACAGCCGATCAGGTAACAGCCAAGCTGGACAAAGTAGAGCGGGTAGATCACGGCGGCCGTGACGGACATGAGCGTGGCAAGCATAGCAAAAGCAGCAGTGAAGTTTCCCCAGGAAATGCTCAGGCAGCTGTGCAGATGCGTGAATTCGCAGGTGATGATGAAGACAGTGACGGCGAAACAGAAGGTCCAGACAAACATGCAGAAAGTGCCATATGCTGCGCTGAATCCTCCCTGGTGGGCTACGAGGCTGAACGTGGTGCATCCAAACATCATCTGCAGCAAACGAGCTATTCCCACAGGGGATGTCACAGCAGCAGTGTTCAGATACGGCCCTCCTGTGCTCTCCATCATCTTTGCAGTACAGCAGACAATGTACTTAAGGCCTCCCCCAATATGTCCTTTCAGGCTTTTGCTCCTTTGTCCTGAGTCACAACTGGTACTGGATCAGCAGAGAGCCAGCTCGGATCCCAGCCCTGTCTCTACCAGTATCGGTAGGTGCTGCCTGTGACGCTGAGTGTGCGTTTCTGGCAGCCTCTCCGCACAGACTTGCCAGCTGCAGGGAGGTTGGCTGGCTCTGCCCACCGGCTGTGATCCCAGGGTGCAGCAATCGGTTCTCTCCGCTCTCTCGGGTCTGAAACCTGCCCCGCATTCTGTCCTTTCACCGTCTCCTTTCCCGCATGATGGCTGAAAGGATCGCTTTCTCCCTGGAGGCTGACATTTATTCCATTTTAGCTCTGCAGCTGTAGCTCTCTGCTGTGCTGTTTGCAGAGACCTAGGAGTATAAATAGGGGCTATATTAATAGTTCTGGAATGAGTCCTCCCTCCCCTCAACTGCCATGAGCAGGTGTTATTTAACACTGAAACTCCAAGGTCCATCAGAGGCTCTTCATTATCCTTCTGCTCTTCCTCTAGAAATGTTTAAGTCACTCTCGTTCCCCCAGCAGCCGCCCCACGCCGTGGGGGCTCTGTGTGGATGTGGGCTGTGGTCCAGCCGTGCTGCAGGAACAGGAGCTCAGTCCTGCAGACCCAAGCCCCCCTGAGTGGGGGCACAAGCCCAAAAGCATCACAAGCCCTATAAAAGGATTTAGGCCAGAGGCTATGATAAAAGCTGACTCACTTTGCTCCATTTGATCTGCAGCAGTAATACATTTACCTGCTTTGAAGGTCCTGCTGTGCTTTGAGCATGCGGCTGTGAAGATTTTGAGCACCAGTCCTCACTGTCTCCTTAAACTCCTCCCTGTCTCTGTTTTAGTTGTATGGGAACCAGTTATTCTTGTATCTCTGAATGCCAAAACCAATTACAATTGTAAAAAAAAAATAAATTTGCTTTGATATTCTTAGCTCTGTTTTGGAGCACAGATTTCAACATATAGTGTCAAACCCTCCCTCCTGTTGGATCAAAGCTTTCCCAGGTAGCCATTTTTGGTATACATTTCCCCAAATTTGGTCTCTACCCAAGAGTCTCTTCATTCTCACTCTAAAAGCCCCAAAGAAAATTTCTGATGTAGTTTCAGAATGGGAAAAATGAAAAACACAACATAGTAGAAAAATTCCTCGCTTACTTCCTGACAGCACTGCAGAGTCCTGAGCTGCAGACCAGCTCTTGCTATGCCGGTTCCAGCAGAGAAGCGGGATCACCCCAGGAGCTCCACGCAGGTGCAAGGAGTCAGCATGACCAAGGGCCAGCCCAGCCCAGAGCCTTAAAACCATTTTGAGTGGTTCAAGATAGTCATCAGCTGTGCTGATAAAGTCTGTAACTTCCTAACTGGGAATTGTAATTGACCCTCATGCTTGGTAACAATAATAATTGCTTAATATAATTGTTTCTTACTCGTATGTTAATGTAATGGTGTGACACCCACCAATGACTTGCGACACGCAGTGCTAGATACTATAAAGAAAAGCTGACAAAAGAGAGTGCCTGCTCCAATTTGTGATCTTAGCATGCAGTTCTGGGGCAGCATGGGTCTGTCCAGGTAAAGGACGCTGCTCCCCCTTCTCCCGTGACCCTTCCTTGTGCAGTGGCCGGGAGCTCAGACAGCTGAAAGTTCCCAGACCCCCTGGAAGAATACCCGTTCTCAGCAATTTGCTGCCTGCGAGGTCTGCTGGCACCAATGCTGCTGGCAGGCGGGACCACCACCTGGGATGCGCAACTGCAGCAGCTCATACTGCTGGGAAGCATGCCTTTACGCAAATCTCTGCTTGGATAAAACGGGCTTTGGAGGTGATGCGGCACGTCCAGTTTCTGGCTGCTTGTTCCTGCCCCTCCACCCTCCTCCCTTGCTCTCACACATCTTGCCCACACAACTGCTCTGTGAGCTGAATCAGGATACTAATCTCAGATTTAAAAAAGAACAGCAGAAAACTGGCACCTGATAGGGATTATTTTTAACCTGGAGTCATCACTGGTCTGATTTACGCTGCAGATGTGCATGGTTGTATCCACACAGCAGTGGCATTTACAAACAGAGCAGCCAGGACCAGGGGATTGGGGAGGAACTATTTAAGCTAGTAGTGCTGCTGCAAGTCACTTGTGATCCAGATGTGGCTCAAGACAAGAGACAAACGGAGACAGACATAGGTTACAGCACAATTGTTTATGGTGAAAAGCAGTGGCTACAGCACTCCAGCAGCTCACAGTCAGCATTTTGTAGGCCACGGATAACTTTACAGAATGATTTGCATGAGAACAGTACAAATTTTGTGGATGTTAAGATAAAACGTGCCTACCTTCAGCTTTGTCACTGCCTTGTAACCTCAGTACCTCTTTCATGAAAATCCTTCCCATTTTCCTTAAAATGACTTCTGGTGTTAAATGCAGAAAACATGGATTCACTCGGGGTGGAAGTTGCACAATTAACATCACAACAGCCAGGAAATGCAGCAAGAGAGCCAAGCAACTCCAGGTCAACATGCTCTCACCCTGAGGTCTTGCCCGTCTCGACTCTCTGTGATGTTAATCCTTCACCTCTAGCACAAGTTTTCCAGACTTTACTGGCAGTGTGTTACTGCCTGTATTGTGGCAAGTCCAGTAAAGCAGAGGGGCTGTGTTACAAGGCAAAGCTATTGCTGCTGTGTTACAAGGCAAAGCTATCCCCATCCTGTCTGGGGACACTGCTTTGCTCTCCCTGTGCAGTCTCAGCACTCCATCAGTGATGCTCTGTTGCACCTAAACACAGCTGAAATCATACTCATCATTTTTCTTCTTAAGCTCTAGCAGGAGCCCCTCTAGATCCCCCACCCCCCCACACTCCCCATTGTAGCATTTGGCTGCAACTGTACCACACTGGCTGTGTGGGGTCAGTGAAGAAAATATTTATTCAATACTTATTGTGTGACAGTCAAGCAAGTGTACTGAATGCTACAGTTGCAGAAGAGTGATTTTACAGTTTATAGCCCACTGTGTTATTGCTTACCCTGTAACTTGCTGCATCCCCTTCCATCTGACCAGGGGACCAACGCACGAGCAAGGGACCAACTCCACGTCAAGGCACACTTGAGGACAACTGCTTGCAAGGCCCTGGTGCCACAGGCTGATCATCACAATCCCCTCCCAGCTGCTCTGCTTGCTGTGACCCATCGGTGATGCCTGGGCTCAGAGCAGAGCTGGTCCTGCTGCGGGGCTTCCGCTTCCCAGGAGAAATGGTGGCAGTCCGGAGAGACCACAGCACCAGGAGGCAGTGCTGGCAGAGCGCAACGGTCCCCAAAACAAACAGCCAGCAGCAGCAGTGCAGCAGATGGACCACTGCCTTCTCCTGGGGTGTTGGGTTTGAACGTGCAGGTCTCTGGCTTCTGTGGATCCCCAGGGCCTCCAGGTGCTAGCAGTCTCATTCCCCAGCACCATGCAGATGCACTGCCAAAGCACTTACGTTTTCATTTTAAAAACACGTAAGCAGATATCAGGTAGAATGTCATGAATTAGAAACCCACAGCTTCTTGCACCCCATCACCTCAGCTTGTTGCACTGCTCCTTTGAGACCCTGTTCTGCTGAACAGGGAAGACTGCCTGCACAATTTAAGGTTTGTTCTGAAAGGAGATCCAGAGCCACAGACATTTGATAAGTGACATGGCAGCTTTGCAATTAAAATGAACGTTGAGAAGCCCACATACCCATATATCAGCCCAGTGGCTCCTAAAGGGTAAGTCACAGCATCTTACAAAGCAAGACATTGATCAGCATAGAAGATACCATGGCTACTAAACTGTCCAGATTTTTAGCCTGGTTTCCACAGAAGAGGTGTGGTCCCAGGAGGACAGAGTAGCAAGGGCTAGCGTGGGGGGCAAAAGCTTTATCAGCTGCTCCACGCCTGCAGCAGGGACTGTGGAACTGTGGAAGCAGCAGCAGCAGCAGCAATGCTGTCCCACTGCTGCTACCGGCCTCTTGCAGTGCTTTTGCAGTAATGATGCTGCCTCTGTGCTGCCTGTCCAAGGACAGGGCACCTTTGCCCAGACCAGCCCTCCTGTGCCTTTCCTCTCTCCAGCGCGGCATTTCCTCCTTGCAGCTGCCCCCAGTCCCGCATGGATGTCCAGGGGTATGACTGGCAGAACGTCGTTGTCCATGGTCTTCATCGTATCGCGGCTGGGTTTGGCGTGCATTACTTGATCAGATCTGTGGTCCTCCTCCATGAGGGCTAAAGAGCGGGTTATTTGGGTAAGAGTTTCTGTCAGGCCCTGTGTATTAGCAGCAGTTCCTGTAGTGAATAAAGGCACAGGGTCTACCCTCCAGCTCATGACTGAAACTGCTTACGTGCCTGATGCCCAAGTCTGGACCTGTAGTCATGCGGTGCAAATCCATTCATTCTGCTATCAGCTTTTGACTTCTTGGTTGCATTTTAATTCTGGCTCAATCACGTGATGCTTTTGGAGACCATTTTTCCCTCTCAGAGGGAAAGCATCTCATCTAGTCATAAGATCTGATAGTACTAACACATGGAACTGAGTTCTTCCAGTCTCGCACTTTTTGCCACAGGCTCCCACACAGCACATGTCACTGGGGATGAACTCAGAAGTCTCAGCTTTACAAAGGCTTGGGAAAATTATATTTATTGCACAAGTACATGAAGTATAGAGCTGGAAATTACTTCCTGGGTTACAGATTCCAGTTTCCAGCTATAACTTGCAACCACATTGTATATTTTTTCTAATAAATTAGCCAAGTTTCCTTTTAAAAATATTTCTGAGTCTTCTGCCTGTTACACATTTTGAAACTGCTGCAGAGGCACCCTAAGCTGAAAGAGTGACCTCTGACTCCCACGGATATTTTTCCTGTGCTTGCAAGGGAAATATCCCCTCCAAACATTCTTTGCCTTTTAGAAATTAACCTTTGAATTAATGTTTTAGATACACAGGTAACCAGCTCTGCAAAAAGCATTCCAAACTTCAACAGCAGTGGTATTTAGAATTTACTGTTTCCTGCTAGAAATGCATTGCTGGACACAGCCTAGGGCACTTGCCCTATTTACAGGTGCATCATTTTCTGTACAGTCATCCTGCAAACAACTGGTATGTACAGTACTTTCCCTTGTGCTCCTAACTGATGAACTAACGCACAGCAGAAATTCTGGCTACTGCTGAAATACCGGCACTTTGATTGACTCCATGTGACTCCAGCCCTCAAAGGAAACCCATCTTCCTGTGTGGTTTTCCGAATGTTGTCTGTACTGAAGAAGCCTCTCAACTCAGTGGCATGAAAAATGTAATCAAAACAGTTTTACTTTCATACCCAAGTCATTAAAACATGAAGGGTATCAGTAATCCCTAGGCTGATCATAGGGCAACTCCACTGATAGTTCTCCTGCATTTCAGTTCTGCTGGGAGCACCACTCATTTTCTCTTCAGCTACTTTTTTACCTTCAACGTGGACTAAACCACCTTGTGCCGCAGCACAGCTGATTTCGTGTGGTGCCGCCCAACTGTTTGCTGAAATCCATGAAAAGTAACCAAATGGCTGCAGTTTTGTTCATTTTCGAGTTTACTCACCTAAGACAAAGGATCTTACAAATAGCACTACCATTTTCACCTGGCAAGACCCATCCTGAAAGTGCACGAAATTCTTCTAGAATTAGGCCCTAATTTTCTGTGGTCTACGCATGGTGTAACCATGAGTGCAAGCAAATGCAAAGCTGGCATCACGACCTTCTGCGGATGTGAACTGCGCTCCTCCGCAGCTCTGCCTGCACCCGCTGCACGGCCCCGCAGCATCAATCCTTTCTGCAGCCCCCGCTGTGCTTTTTCCGAGGAAGGGTCTCTTGCTCTCCCAGCCTCAGCCACACCTTCCTGACCCCTCCTTGTTCCCCCCGTTACCACCACAGGGGATTCCCTGTGTCCCGAGGTGGGTGTGGAAGAACAGAAATATGCTGGTGCTTGCCTTGCGTTCTCTGCCTTTTATGTTTCAAATGCTCCCCACTTTAAGACAGGCCAGGCGGTCTGATCAAACATTTCTCTCACTAGAATAGAAAACCAGATCTGCAAAACCAGATCTCCCTGCATCTTAAGATGCAATGCCCTGGAATACCTGCCAAATCACAGTCAGGCTGAAAATGCTGTGCAAGTATGCAAACATCAGATGTTGGGTGAAAATCTCTGTACTTAGACCTCGTATTACAACCTCTTCATCGGAGAAACAATGGCAAAGCATACTGCAAGGGGAACGCAGAAGGGTAATTAATACAAAATGTCAACACCACCCTCAGCCCTCTCCCAGGCACAAGTGATCGTAAGGATAACCCATCCAAATAAGCAGCATATACAACTTTACAAAAATGTATGTACGGCTCTCCGGTCAGCCCTTATAAATAGCATTTTACATATTAAAATAAATATGTCCACGTTGCCAAAGTAGCAAGAGGTTTCTTCGTTATTTAAAAAAAATATGTTACAAAAAGTATCATTTATATTTCTTGCTTAGTTTAAAAAAAGTAATGAAAAAGTCATTTTATAAAATAATATGAAAGCAAATTGAGTACAAGAGTGTCCATCCCTAGCACGTGTTCTGGGTTTGTACGTTATGACTCATCATGAGATGCTGACCTCCAGGAAGTCATGTAATCATTCCTTCACTTCTAGTTGGACAAAAGAAATCCAGTGCTTGCTTTTTTCACCACTTGTATCAAGTCTATGATGTAAAATTCATGGCAAGGGAAGAAGTCCTAGATCTGGGGAAGGTTCTCATTGCTGCTATTTATGGCTTTGCTACTCCCTGTATCCGATTGCCTTGTGTAACACAGGAAGAGGATGTGAATGGCCAAAACTGAGCCCTGGAGTTTGGAGGTAACGAGTTCCAGCCAAACAGTGTAAGCAAGAAATTGCCTTTTTTTTTTTTCCTTTGACACATCCTAAGTGTGCAAGAATGTGGGAGCACACGGGTGTGTACAGGCTTGAGCATGCATGGGTGTGAGCACGCATCTGCCTGCATAAGCGTAAGAAAGAAGACTAGAAAGTGTGGGAGAAGGGCTTAGAGTCTCCTCCTGATCTAATCTCTCTGCCCCTCTGAAGACCCCTCCCTAGTTACCACTGCTGAGCATCCCCAGAAGTTTACTGGGCTCCAGGCCCTGTTGCTGTGCCATCTTCTGAACATCAAAACCCATGTGCATGAGGAACTGGATCACATTCATCTCCTGCCCTGTGAACTGGTCCCTGATAGTGGGGCACGAGGGGTTGCAGTGAGGCCATGGACAGCTGTCAATCAGATGAATCGGGCAGCCTTTCAGAGGGGCCTTTCCATTTTTGTTGCTCTCGTGTAGGCTCCGATCCCAACAGTGCAGAGCACGGGGTAATGATGTCCCCTTCACCTGGATGTCTGTCCAGTGACTGAAAAGACAAACCGTACAAATGGTATCAGAGGGGTCAGGCTGTCGGAACTGGTTAATTCCCCTACCGTTTCCCTGTTGAACTTTCATAGAATCTGCAAAAGCACTCACTTGCGTGTAATGATCTCATGAGACAAACAGGCAGGAGCAAAGCTAGCACTAAAGGAAAAAAGGAAACATCGATTAGGTTGTGGAAGGACAAAGTAACTCCTGCTAAACAGAACCTTCTGGGCTAGGTAGAGGGTGGAATTTTTGCTGCCCCTGGCAAGATTTTTAGAAACGGCAATGACTATCATGATATAAAACCCAACTGGACCGGGAATTATCCAGAAGAAAGGGGGGTCCATCCTGCCTAACAGTGCACATTTGCAACAAGACTCCTGAATACCTGCTCTTGTATGAAGCAAGTAAGGCACATTAACGGCTCCTCCTCTGTTGTCTCATCAACTCTCTGACTGTTTTAGGATCAGTACTTTTCCAAACATCCCTGGGAGGTTAGTGGCTGTGCAATGGCAAGGAGTCTCAGACCTCACCTTGGAGGTAGGAAAGAAAAAAACACAGCCCTATTGATAACAAAGGGTAGCTGATAATTGTGAAGCTGGAAATTACTTTGCACTTATCCAGAAATGAAAAAGGCAAGATTCTTGATGTAGATGAACTAATAGTTATCAAATTTACACTTGTTTCTGCAGAGATCTGAGAAATGCTGCTAGGATAATGGATAACAATGTCTCTTGGAAATAAATGTGCCAGGTTTTCCTCAATGGAATACTTACGTCACATCCTTCAAGGTGTTTCTCAGCTCCCTACCCAGATTCTGGATGTAGAGCCACTGCCCTTCCTGAACAGGCTGGCCAGTGAGGTGTACATTGTCTACAGTAAGCTGGGCCTCATCAAAGAGCCATTGGACAACAAAGACTGGACCTAGGAAGACAAAAAAATTGGAAAAGGGATTGCTCTAAGTTACTGCAGATACAGAGGAAACCATAGAATCCATTTTCTATCTCTCCTCTGACACTTACATCGAAGAGTGGGGTAAATCTTATAGCCAAAAAAGCAATTCCATTCCTCTCCCTCTTTAAACTGCAGCTTACAGCGTTCAGGAACAATACCATTCCAATACCTAGAAGACAAAGCAGTAACAGAGTGAAAGGCATAGCGCAATCTTAACAATGGCCTTTCCATATCCCAGTCTATTTCTGTTTTGATTATAGTTCCAACTTACTGACACCAGAGTTCTTTCTTGGCTACATTGTCCCATCAACACATTTTAGAGCATCTACAATTGCATGCATTCATTTGCATGTCTAGATTTTAAATTATTGTCTTTTCCAATAAAATGATTGAAAAACCACTGATGTAGATGATAAATCCTCTTTACGTATCAAAATGAAGCAAGACAGAGGAGGAGGAGATCTTCTCCACACTCTAACCTCTCATAAAAGCGTACTTCAGAGCATCTGATTTTACCTTATTCCTCTCCTGATGGCTTCTGTTGGAGCACATGTTATGGTATCAATACAGTCAGTTCTGCGATATTGTTTATTATCCAGGAACCATCCGGAGTCTGCCAAGCCTCGAACCTGAATCCCTTGATAACCCATCTCCTCCAGCTGCTCTGCCACTCGATCCACATTCAGGAGCACTCCTGTACCTCCAGCACTGCAACAGCAATGTTAATGCTGCAGTCACGAAGCACACAATGGCTGGTTACCATACATATCCCTCCCACAGCAGCACGCTCTATATACAACTTCATCTATCCACAGGACAATCCACTACTAACTTGGGAGTCACCAAGTTACTTCCTTGCCTTGCAAAACACTCAGAAGTAAAGCCAGTGCTGAGTAACAATCTTGTACCTCAAAAACCAAATCCTTTCTTCTGGGAGATATATATGCTTTATATAATTTGCAAGGGGTTTGGCTGCTCAAAAACTGAAAGAATCTAAAGCGAGCCAAATTCACCCTTTGCAACTTCTGTATTACACCCCTGCGTAACATATGCAAAGCGTACCATAGCTTTGCACAACATAGCACAATTCAGAGCACCTGCATCAGGCAAGTCCGATTTTTCAATTCAGATGTCCCGAATCTATCCACAAGAGGCATGTGCCCCACGGTGTGGGTCAACAGGAGCCAGCATTCTTGATACAGGGAAGAATGAACACATTCCCTTCCTCTTGTAAAGCAACAATCTGTAAAAACAACCTTCTTGTTTTCTCCATTTGCTCTTAAGTCTACCTGGACCAAAAGCCAAGGAAATAATATTCTATCATCTCCTGTTGTACTACTCAAAGGAGAAAACTGAGAAGAGATACAGGGTTTGCTGTGTTAGTGTTACTGTACTCCTGGGAGAAATTTGTCAGGAGCTGCTGACACCTTCTTCCTAACAGCTTTCCCCTGTGGAAATCTCCTGTCTTCACCACGGGAAAGGGTGTCGATACCTACCTGCTCCCTGCTAGCAGCAACACTTTTGCAGTGCTCAGACCTTTTCCCACCAGCTCCTTGATAACCTCCTGAATGATCAGTGCTCCCATGAAGGCGTATTCATCTGGAAGAGACAGCTCAGTGTCAACAAGACAGTGTCAACAAGTCCCAGCTAAGACTTTTGATTCCTCTCCACAAATGGTTAAGAACCTTATGAAGGGATTATGAAACTAAAACCAGGCCCATTTTCTCCACCGGTATCAAGTACATCTAACAAGAGATACTCTTGTACAAAACTTGCTTCCCTTAAAGAAAGCAAACAGAGAGTGAACAGAATGCACAATAACACGAGCACACTTTCCTACAACAGTGCTCAGGAATCGGTAAACTTAGAGAAAGAAAACAAGAAGGAAGGCGGTGGGACCCTTTCTCTGTACGTGAGGAATATGCACACCTTCCTGCCACCTGGAATCTCAGTTCCAACTTACTGTATCTCTTTTTTCCCAATTCATAAAGCCAATCCAGACAAGCAATGTTTCACAAAATGTTACACCTGCATAGACGGCTGCTTCCTCAGCACCACCAAAAGGCAGCCACGTCTGCTGAAGTGTAACTGCTTCACAGCAACAATCGTAAGAAGCTATGATGAAGGGAAAAGGACCCTTACTATGACAAAAAGTGTATGTGTGGTACCCACAAGCAGTCAGTTTCTCAACGTAAGAGTTAGTGGAAAGAGACATCAAGTGACACAGTGTCTGGTTTAAGGCCAGAACTCACAGACCAACTCAAAGAAAAGTATTAATCTCCTGCCTTTTCAGTGTCACATCACGGAGCATCTTAGGCCAAATTCTTCTCTTCACAGCAGCGTATTATCAACAGTAATTCTATTCCGGTCAAAGAAAACTTTTCATCAACAAACGAGAGGAGAACTAAGCCCCTGGTGTTTCTGCAGACATTACTGCACTCGGACACCAATCCTGCTTAAGTTGGGAAACCCAGAGAAGTAAGTGAGGTAGAACAATTCATTCGCATGAAATCCAGCTTAATCTGGCAGAGGGCTCCTTTAAGCAGACTCCCAGAGTTCCGTCATCATCAAAATGGCAGCTGACGGCAATACATGTAGTAAGATGAACTATTCTTCCGTTTCCCAAAGAAACCTGCGGACAGCTTTAGCCTGACACAACGGCTCCTTTCAAAGGCCAACTATCCTCCTGACAGAACTCTGAAATTAAATTCACTGCACTTGCCTCGCAGATCAGCAAAGCCAAAGTTGCATGCAACAAACCACGGTTCCTCAGCTACACCACTTAATTTGCTGTATGCTGGAACCTGGAGATTCATCTAAAAGGAATTTCGTTCCTCTAATCCTTGCATACTGCATCACTGTAACATCTCTGCAAGCAGTGGCTCTGAACTACGTCAAAACAGCCTGAGCTAAAGAGATCAGGATGTTTTATCTGGAAGTAGCTTGATATTCTTTCCTGCCCTTCAGCAAGAAAAAGCCTGTTCTTCATTCACGTAATTTCACAGAAGTCTGGCCATATCCTTTAATGTGTGACGTCTGGGGCAGGAACAGCCCATCAGCAACACTCACTTTTCTCAGACTTGGAAGAGGCACCACTCCAAACATCACTTGAGCAATAAGGGATGAATCTGTAAGAGAGAGTTGTGTGAGTACTGATGTTCCTTTGACATGCAAGGAGGGGTGAGGATCAGGTCAAGTAACTGGAAGAAAACTAAATCCTGGGGAAGGGAAAAGGAAGAGTTTCTTGTCCGGCCAGACAACTTACCTTCTTGCACACCAAGTGACAATTATAACTGTCTTGAATTTACTCCTGAACACTGGTAGTTCTACTGAGTTAAATCAATAAATAATGTGTCTTTTAATCAATCTAACTGAAGCACTGAGCTCAGTGGACAGAACGACGGGCCAAGATTTTGCTCTTAGCTGTACCACTGATATTGTGGATGGCCTGTCACAGGGAAACTTTGTGCTTCAATTTTTCACGTGAAAAATCAGACGACCTTGTCAATGCGGTGTAAATACTGACTGCAACCACTGGAGGTTTTTGCAGGAGCGAAGTTACCTTCCCATTTTTGTCTCCAGCTTGCAGAATGCAAATTAACATCCGTCTCTTCTGCTTTTACCTCCTACATAGATGCATATATAAACTGGTGTCTTTCTCATTTCTCTTCTTTGAACTAGCAGAGCTGCTCCACATTCCTTTCAAATTGGCAAACGTGTAACATACTATCAGCCCACCACCCACAACAGTATTGCCACTTTCTAAGCTATCCCCAGGTTTTCTTCATTAGATTACCCTGCAACTCCAAGGAGACTGAACTTAAGTTTCTTCAAACCTTGCCAGTGCTACTTGTTAGAGCTGAACTAGTACAAACGAGGAAATATACAATTTCCACTCGCAGGTGTTCGTCTTAATCTGTCTTTGTAGCATTCTTGCTAGCCTAAAAGGCAGGAGATGCTGTTTAAGTATAAACCTATTTCCCTTCGTTGTCCCTCCTTACACCATGTTTGCATTCCACCAGTGGGGATTTTCTTCTGGCTGTGATGACAGGATCCCAGTTCCTGCAGATGGGCACAAAGAAACAAGAAATGTACAGATGAGAGTCTATGACTTCAGAGAAACCGTATAAGCCCCATGCAGGATCTCTGACCACAGAGAAAACAAACATCCATGATGAAAACCATTGGTAAGGGTAAGTGGAAGGAACATTTCTAAATTTGCCCTTAGACAGGCGTGACTTTCAGAATTTGATACATACGAGAGATGAAGCCTGTCTAGAAGCCTCCTGTAGTACAGAAAAGCAGCAGTGACACATACTTACAATCAAGCACTTCCCAAAAAAGCGAATCCTAGCAGGTGAATTCCACTATATACAATTATAAGATCTGTGTGAATGACAGAGGTTTGAGTATCCAGAAAGCCGGAGCATAAGTGGGGAGAACTAAGAGAGGAGCTCAGCATTTCTGTGCTGACTCAGGAGCCCAGTGGTCCAGAGTGTGGGTATCCAGGGTGTTAATTCCACCTTATGTATGACACTGAAAGATGCTACAAATACTTTACGTATGCCCCAAACGTACGCTTTCACAGAGAGAATCACTACAGTCGGTTAAGTGATGTTACACAATTGTAAATGGGGAAAAGGCGGAACCACGCAGCCCCAGATGAAAGCCAAGACAGTTAATCTGATTTCTCCCTATGCAAGTAGGGCCAGTCCTACTACAGGCAAACATGCACACCCAGTGCAGGGTGCAGCAACGTGCAGCTGTCCTGACAAAGAGATTAAGAGGCCCAAGAAGAGTTCTTCTGACAGGATTAAGAGAAACACAAACTCTCTTTAAAGAAAAAAAACCTAAAACTCAACTCAAGATCGCAGCAGGTTTGTGAGTACATGCACACATTTAAAATAAAGAGAGCATATTGGCCAGAGTTCAAAAATCCAGTACTGTCTACGAGTGATAACTGTACATCCGAACGCGCGTGCGGATCTGTGCTTTATGAGCTTTTCTGAGAGCGGAGTAGCACGCTTGTTCGGGCATCCCCCCGCAGGAGCGAGAGGCCATCGGTGCGCCCGGCACCGCGCTGGGGCTGGCGTGGGAGCAGGGACACGGCAGCGA